CACTACTGGTAGAACGTCTACTTCATGACAACTGTGGAGGGAATGTTTGTGTGGGATCACAGATCATTATATGGTAGGAGACTTGTGTAGCTACACTACTGGTAGAACGTCTACTTCATGACAACTGTGTGTGGGAGATGTTTGTGTAGGGATCACAGATCATTGGAGAGGAATGTTTGGTGGGATGATCATTATGTGGTAGGAGACTTGTGACTTGTGTAGCTACACTGGGATCACAGACTGGTAGAACGTCTACTTCATGACAACTGTGGAGGGAATGTTTGTGTGGGATCACAGATCATTATATGGTAGGAGACTTGTGTAGCTACACTACTGGTAGAACGTCTACTTCATGACAACTGTGGAGGGAATGTTTGTGTGGGATCACAGATCATTATATGGTAGGGGACTTGTGTAGCTACACTACTGGTAGAACATCTACTTCATGACAACTGTGGAGGGAATGTTTGTGTGGGATCACAGATCATTATATGGTAGGAGACTTGTGTAGCTACACTACTGGTCAGAATCGAAACTTGTGTAGCTACTTCATGACAACTGTGGAGGGAATGTTTGTGTGGGATCACAGATCATTATATGGTAGGGGACTTGTGTAGCTACACTACTGGTAGAACGTCTACTTCATGACAACTGTGGAGGGAATGTTTGTGTGGGATCACAGATCATTATATGGTAGGAGACTTGTGTAGCTACACTACTGGTAGAACGTCTACTTCATGACAACTGTGGAGGGAATGTTTGTGTGGGATCACAGATCATTATATGGTAGGAAACTCTGTAGCTACACTACTGGTAGAACGTCTACTTCATGACAACTGTGGAGGGAATGTTTGTGTGGGATCACAGAATGGTAGGAAACTTGTGTAGCTACACTACTGGTAGAACGTCTACTTCATGATGACAACTGTGGAGGGAATGTTTGTGTGGGATCACAGATCATTATCTGGTAGGAGACTTGTGTAGCTACACTACTGGTAGAACGTCTACTTCATGACAACTGTGGAGGGAATGTTTGTGTGGGATCACAGATCATTATATGGTAGGAGACTTGTGTAGCTACACTACTGGTAGAACGTCTACTTCATGACAACTGTGGAGGGAATGTTTGTCAGGGCTCAGAGATAAGGGCCATATCGTGCAGTATGTACGGATAAAATTAGGAGACTTGTGTAGCGATGGTAGAAGTAGGAAATAATTTATAAAAGCGTAGATACTGGTAGACGTCTCTACTTCATGACAACTGTAGAAGGAATGTTTGTCAGATACCATACCAGGCAATGGTGTAAACTGGTCTTGACGGTCTTGAATCATTTACAGGCGTATTTATCTGAAAAAAGTATTGTTTTATTGTTTATTGACCTGATTACACAAGACTAGCAATGTTGTGTTGCATATATGAAACGAAACACAAGATTACTGATACTCCATTAAATTCCATTCAGTACTCTAAATGTAGGCTTAAGGTTTTCGAGTACTCCTATATTGAAAAAATAAGGAGTACGTACTCCTGGTGTTCAAAAATTATCTGGAGCCCTGTTTGTGTGGGATCACAGATTATTATATGGTTGGAGGGGAACATGAACAAAAGAACTATTGATAGACCACCTACTTCACCACATCTGTAGAGTGAATGTGTCATGGCTGTTTGGACTGGTTGGCCATGCAATGCCATGATAGGTCCCACAGGCTATGTCAGAATTCATTAATGAATTTCCTATAAGTTGTACTGACTATTGTCTCGTGTTCCTATGCATGGTTATATGTTCTTATATCTAACTTTTACCCATATATGAGCATAAATATGATCGTTTTTGGAGGTTATGTTTCTCCTCAGATTCATGTATTTACATCCACAGCTTGTATTGTGGTTCAATGTTCATCAGCTATCACTGTGACTTCTTCATTTGTGAGGCTTTGATAAAGGTAATGGTGAATATTATAAGATGAATAGGTTTCATGGACAGTATTGATGACAACAGTTGTGGGCTGGCAATACACTTGTCTCCTTGGTTGTAGAACCTGGAGCAAAGCTACCGTCAGGTTCTGGAGAACATGGCAGAACTTGAGCGGAACCAGGATGCAGCAGAGACTCGTGAACGCATCAAAGCCCTAGAGCGGGACATTGAGGACAAGGCCAAGATGTTGAGGGACAATACGGAGGAGATGAAGTTCCTCCGATACCAGGTACTTATATCTCCTCTCATTATACCTGTGCGGTAGGGAGTATTGCTGCTCTTGTGGGTACTCCGGGTTCGAATCCCCACATGGGTACAATATGTGAAACCCATTTCTGGTGTCCCCTGCCGTGATATTGCTGGAATATTGCTAAAAGTGGCGTAAAACCAAACTCACTCACTCTTGTGGGTACTCCCAACTAAAAGAAGATTGCAATGGAAGGCAAGTGTCATTAGTTGCATTTGTCACTAGATCCCAATGTATGCACTTTACATATAAAGCATATACAGTGTAATGCTGATTTGAATCAGGACCTATTAATATAGTGGTATTTGTGTTTGATATTATATACACATGGAAACAAGTATCACAACACTTGTATATAGGACACACAGAAGGTAGATGTTTATAGAGAAATGGTTGCTGTAGTCTGCACTGATGAGTTCATATCATATGTTGTGTTTGAAGAACTGCAACTGAATGTGCCTTTGCAGATCCAGAGTGCCCAGAGCGACATGGGAACTCTGAGTCAGCAGAAGACAAGAACAGAAGCCATGCTCAAGTCCCAGCAAGAGCGGGCCAACCAGAAGGAGACCCAGCTGTTCACCCAGTGCAGCAAACTACAGCAGCAGGTAGGTGCTGTAGAACACTTTACAATGAATGGCTTTACGTAAGGCCACTACCAGCTCTGTGGAGGTTCCTGGTCAGATTCTGTCCACAGCATCTATTGCAAGCTGTAAGAGGTACGTAATGGATCAGTGACGTGGTTGACTTGGGTGATTAGGTTGTTTTGTACTTGCTCGGATCACATGACTGGAATGTTCTACATGGCATGATGATACGAGAATATTGTAACCACACGTACAATACCTCATTTTTATGAATAAACCAATATAACCTTGTACAAGATTTAATTGTATAATTATATAATTATATAAGAAAGAAATGGGTATAATCAACATATCAAACTCTTTAGCATAATAATATTGGAAGGTTCCAGCATGTCGACTTGCCTCATGATCAGTATTTACCTGTTGTAATAAATATTGACTTGAGTCTGCTGTAAAACAAGACAGCATCTGGGAGTAACATTTCATGGGTCAAGGTCACTGTACTGAAACGGTGGACCGTTTGAATGCTTCATGAAGTTTTAAAAATAAAAAGAGTGTCCTTTGATAGATAAGAGCAAATGTTTACTGAATAAGGGACCGTTCATAATTTATGGCTAGGGGTGGGTCGGTGAGGCAGGGTAAATGATGATGAATTTTATGGAGAAACATGTACAATTTGAATGACAAACCCCACCCCCACCCCAACCCCAACCCCACCCCTTAATTTTATGTACAAAGTAAGTGACCCCCCTGCATGTCCTGTACAAAATCAATGAAACACCCCCTCCCATATGTTTTAATATTTGTATGTACTAAATTGCTGACCCCCTACCTCCCCAGAACAAAATGGGTGACCCCCCCTTAAGATCGTCATCAGAATATGAATGCATTAGGAACCACAGAACACAAACATCTCACTTTGTACCCCTTCAGATAAATGGTCAATTAAAGTCATATGTTCAGTTTAGCATTTTTCTCTCCTGTCTGCAGGTTCATAGGGTCCAGAGTGAAAACAACAAACTGATGATGAGACTCTCGGCTCAGTCAAATGTTGCCCGTGTCCAACCAGTGATGCAGCATGTTTCACTGGAACCAACATCCATGCCTGTCATGTCGTCCAAAGCTGATCCGTTTCCCTGGCAACGTGGTCCAAAGGATGTGAGTTTACTGACAGACAGTGAACTGGCGTCATCTGATCTTAACTACAGCGATTCGTGTTTGCTAAAAAAACGACTCTCACCTGAGGAGGAGAAATACTTATGCCATCATTGTTTGAGGACTGACTTCAAGGACGAGAAAAGTTTCAACCAGCATATGCAGAGATGTGGTGATTAGGACTATGTCATCGCCAGTACTTCATGGGTTTACATACCGTATATGACCGTCTATAAGACGACCCCCAAACTTGACCCTTAAACTCAGTGTCAAAATGGTATGTTTCGTGCAGAAGTCAATCCCCCGTGATGGGGTCCTAATCGCGGCAAACACAGACCACAGACAACTGGCAGTTACCAATAATTATAACTTTGGTCCACATTATTCAAAGAATTCACAATCATATATATTGTGTCTACTCACGGATCGAAACGAAGTGTAGTTGACAGAAAATGCATAATATATTTTGCTTCTCTAAATATCATATTTATTGTAGCAACAAACTGGCTTGCTTATTTTACCCCATTCAACAATCACGAACTGATTACCGCCTCGTTTTCCATTGACTGCTAGTTTACAGTAACATCGGTAAAAATGTGTGAATTTAAATGGCTTCCGTATTTTACCCCATTCCATGTGCGTACAACTTCTGCTTACCACGTTCATGAGGGTCCGTATAACGTTAGTGTTAATTATATATATTTTACATAAAAACTGTAATTAAAATTACACAATGCTAGGTTATAATTCTTTGGTTAAATAATAGTACTCTGTATTATATTTTACTGACGACTGCGTCAGAATTTGTCCCGTTATATTATTGTGCAGCTGATTGCTATTTCCGGCTCAGATACACACGGTAATCTTAATCCCTGCAAATAATACAATGCCCAGCAAAAACAATTTAGAACTTAAAAGGTAAATAATCTTGTCTAGTGATGTTTAATTGCAAATTTGACGTCTCTACTGACAAAGTCGTCTTCTGTTGTTTGTTCACGCGAAGTGATACAATGTTGTTTTCTTACCCCTGGAAAAAAGTTTGACGAAAACGTAACCCATGGATAAGACGACCCCCTTCTACAGAATGCTTTTTGGTCCTCAAAATTCGGCTTATAGACGGTCATATACGGTACACTAAATTCTACAGGAGCAAAGACAAGAGACACAGCTACAATGCTGCAGGTATTCACTACCAATAAATCAAGCCATAGGAAAACCAACCAGTACTCCGACCAATAAGCACTCTGATAACAAACAGTTATATCCACTAATGCAGACGTCTGCTCCATATATTTGCTTTCATATCATATTTACACCTGTAGTTTGGGCAAACTGTACAGACGCCTGAGTTAAGCTCATTTGATTCTTATTGTTACTTCACTGAAAGTAGAAACAGGTCACTGCTGTGTCATATATTCGCACTATGGATTGATGGGGTATGGAAGAATGTCGTATGTGCAAACCCATGTTGTACTGGCAAAAGTCCATACTTTGTGAGATAGGCGGCCATCTTGGATATGCAGTTCAAGCAGTATTTTTTGCTGAATTGCAAGAGTGAATTGTGTATCTTCACACTGTTCGTGGCAATATCTTTCATGCATGTAGCTGTCTTCGAATAATCAAATCCTTTTTGTTATTCAATTTTACCAACCTGGGCCATCTTTTGTATAAAGTGTACATGAAATTGTTGTGGTAGCAGTAGAACAGTAAAACACATCAATGCAAATGTCTGATTTGAAAGTTCTCTCTGTGTGAAAAGTTCAAATGTAGGAAGTATTGCTATTTGTGATAGTGGTATATTAGATTAGATGATTCTAGACTGACTTATTTATGCACTTTGTTAAAATACAGATGTTTGTCTCATTTTTATGAATCTTAATACAATCTAAAATCATATGTCATTGCTGACGAGTGTCCACTGGTGAATACAGGCCGCTTACCTCAGTCAGCAGGAGGATGTCCACTCCCATGCCATGGTTGTGGTGTTATTTGGAACAGTTGAAGAGAGAATACCTGTAGCATTTGAGTGTATGATTGCAGTATAACCATGTCATAGTCAGATCAAGTCTCCAGGATTAGGCTGATATTATAGTTAGTTTATTCTGATCCCATTATATTCAAGTGTGTTTCTAATTAGAATTCTAGAATAAGCAGATATCTTTAAGGTCTCTTCAGGTATGCAAGGCATGTGTGAAGCCCATTTCAGGTGTGAATGTTGCTGGAACATTGCTTTTATTGTTAACTCAGTCAGTCAGTCAGATATCTTTAGGTCTCTTCAGGTATGCAAGGCAGAATGTGAACACAGAACATTTTATTGTTAACCTTAAGTGTTAGTATTTGTATACGTAGGTGACTGAAGGGTAATTTGGGTTTCAACACTTGATGCTTTACCCAGCTCGTTAAATCACCTCCTGATACAATGACACTACATCAGCTACAAACACAATTAACTTCCAATACACAATAGTGCCTGTCTCACTTACATCAACTCATTCAACCTCTGTACATGCACATGCATGCATAAATAATGTATGTTCTAGTGGTGTAAGATATAGCCACATACCGGGGGATGATACCTATTTTATGTATATTTAAGTTCAGTTTATTTGTGGAATGCGTCATTGGAATTTCACTCACCTACACATATATTCTCTCTTGCCTAACCTTCTTCTGACTTTATGACTGAGAAAAGTGCATAATAACAGGCTTGAAATACTAATAAGATTGTACAAGTTAATAATTGTTTCAACCCAAGCTGGGATTTGGACAAAACATTTTGGGATAAAAAAATTCTTAATATTCCTATTATCTGACATTAGAAATTCTTTGAACATATTGACTAAAACATGACATTCAGTCTTGTAAAAGTCTCCTCTTCCACATCATTGTCCCACTGTCATTGATATACATGGCACGTCGACTGAGCCATAACGATATTTAGTTTTGACTGTATTGTTACAACCTGGGAACATTTTACTTCCTATGTGGGAATTATTACTGACATTGTGCTTTGCATCTTTAAAAAGGACTTAAGCATGTACCTATGGAAGGTGGAGTGGTTGGGTAGACAAGTGGTTGATGGTCACTTGTCATGCTGAAGACCTGGCTTCAATTTTCCATATGGGTACAATGTGTGAAGCACATTTCTGATGTCCCCGAAATGATTTTCTGGAATATTGCTAAAAGCAGTTAAAGCAAAACCTCACTCACTCTCTCACTCACTCACGTATGAAAGGCTGAAGTGTACATTGTTTTATGTTTGTGAGCAAATCAGTTGTACATTTCACCAATAGAAGTGCCTTTTGTGTCTGTATGTCTGTATCATGTGATCAGTCATGTGATTAGTGTAGTATGTGCTGTTAGTTGACTGTTGTGTGAACTGGTTGAACCAATATGAAGACAGATTTTTCTGTGCTGCAGTTTAAGACGTGTAGTGTACCAGTGTGACCTGGGGAGTGACCCAGTAAAGAATTCTATTTATTGATTTCTGACATGAGACAATCTAAAATGTGTCAGTTGGGTTTACAACCCTGATGTCTTTGGTTACCTTTCCTTATGCTAAGCAGACTGTTAAAGTGAAAATAGGTCTTAAGTGTCTATGTTTTACTTTTGGTTTATCATCTTTTTATCTTTGGCAATTACATCTTATACAGTACATCATACTTTTGGATATATTTATATCACCATTGTCCTTATGTGCCATCATAGCAAACAACAGTTGCCCCAAAGTGGACAATGTCTCGTGAATGGCCATGACACATGTACACGTAATTGATGAAGCAGTGTGAGAACACTGGGCGTAAAGTCACTCATGTGGAACATCATCCCCTTTTCGGACTGTCGACAAGTAATTTGGACGGATTATTTATTGTTGTTGTCGACAGGCCGGGTATAAACCGTCAGAAGTTGTTACCTTTGGTGCAACACGCAAAAACGTGTGAAAAGACATCATTGTGTTACACTGTTCAATATGCTTACTGAAATTGATTTAATTTTTTGCGCTAAACTGTATTATACATACCTAATCAACACAATATTATCTTTAACGGAAGTGGTCTTGACAAGATGTAATATCTGCTATTGATATTAATTTCAATCACTCAAAACATCTTCATGTTTTCGGTCCAGGATTAAGATGACCGAAAGGCCGCTAAAATATTTATATTTTAAAGTCAAAAACAGCAATTGTTATATCGCAGTTTTCATACTATATGTTACTGTTTATTTAGTATATTTTGTATATATCATCCTTATGTTTGAATTCTTGTCTGTTCATCTTGTTCTTTAATTTAACCATTCCATTATTTTCCAAATTGTTTTGTTTCTTATTTCAATGATTCAAAGCTGACACACATATATATTTATACATATAATCAATTTCTTTTTTAAAATATCTTATTATCTCAGCCAGTAATCAATGTGATCAGGTTGGTATATCACTGATGGATTGAAAGATACCCAGTATCTTTTGCTTAAAGCTGAAGCATTTTGGATAGACGGCTGTTGTCGATTAAATGGTGATTGTGGTCAGTGTACTCTGATAGAGGGGATTGATGTTTTTGCTTCACGACTGAATTATTTACATGTGGTCTCAGCGTGCAAAATAGTTTCCAAATTTTGCTAGCCAGACAGGCGAGCTATGCCTGAAAGTTACAAAAAAGCCCACAAAATAATTCATCAGGCCGAAATTTGAATGTAGAAACTAAGCAAAAGATTACAAAAAGGTAAAATACCATAAAAAACAAATGACCAAATGAAAATTCACTATCCAGGCAGGCCAGTGACTTTGGAGATTTACTGGTCTCACTGGATTTTTACTAGCCACAGGCTAGCGGGCAAGTGTCCGCCAGTGTCACACAGTGCAGTCATGATATGGCTGGAACATTGGTGAGAGTGACATTATACATTGTTGACTATCATGTGTGTGTTGGTCAAATACTGAGGTTACGATGCTGATGTACACATACAGGCATTTACTTCAGGGATTGGGTGTGTGTGGGGGGGTATGTGATAGATTAAAGGCAATGAGTGGTTGGGTAAGATGATGGGTGGCAGGGAAACACACACTCATAAAGTGAGGCATCTAAGTCCGGCACTTAAGGTCAGTGATGTAACCCACTTAGACTAATGCTTAGTCCCTGAATATATATAAGTTTGATAGTAACAAATAAACCCTTTTAAATTGAAAGAGATTCCTAGACTTGTTTCATTTAGAGTTTTAGCATTGCAGAGAGGGCTCGGCTAGGGAAAATAATGTGGTTCAGGGACTGTGAGACATCCTATAACCCACCCAGCCACTGCGGCTTCCACAAAGATAGAAGTCTGACAGCTGGTAGTCTAGATTACACACTTTGTGTACTCCTCTGACAAATGTACATTGTCGACATGTTTGATTCTGGCACTTTTGTTGGGTTGTGTCCCATCAACGATTCAAACCCACACTCTCAGAGTGAGGCACCTAATCACCAGCGCACAACCGTGTGGGAACCGTGCCAATTTACACTTGGCAGAGGGTTACACAAAGCATGTGATCTAGATTCCCTCAGATCCAAACCACATTATAAGAAATGACTGCTCCCTTAGGGGACACTTCTCTGCAAATCAAGTTCAAAATCTCCCACCAGTTAACCGCCAGTGCCCTCACTATTTACTTAGTGAATGGGAGTGAACATATGCCCTCTGATTGTGTCAGTATGGAATGACAGACAAGTGGTTAGAGCACCATTCTGAAGGATCTGTGTTCCACTTGGATGCATTGTGTGAAGACCCTTCATCCAGCCATGACATTGCTGGAAAATGGCTAAGTTTGAAAACACAACTCACTTTCTTACTTGTTTGTCAACGCTGATGAGTGAGTGAGTTTAGTTTATGCTGTTTTTAGCAATATTCCAGCAATATCAGAGCACGGGACACCAGAAATGGGCTTCACACATTGTACCTTTTTGGGGTATCGAACCTGGGTCCTCAGCGTGATGAGTGAACGCTTTAACCACTAGGCTACCTCACCGCCCCTTCAATGCTAGTGAACCAGCTTTGAAAGCTTAACATCTCATCCACTAAACAGTTAAACTCAGTGGTACAGAGTTGTACAGTACAGTAGATGTGTTGACAGTGCGGATATACTTTGAGTGTTGCTTACATGTCTAGCTGGTGTGTGTGTTGCTGGGATTGTTGTCAAACAACTTGTGTAATCTGTTGATCTTGTTTGTCCTGTGTTCTCCATGTAGCAATGGAGAGCTCAGCAACCTGTAACAGAATATGGAGTTTAAAAACCAAATGGTATGAATAAAAATATTTAAAACAATATTTATTTGTATTTATTGATATTTTTTTCAATTGTCTTTGATTTAAATATTTTTTTACTACATGTAAATGAAGCTGAGCGAGGTTATAATGTACTTCCCTGTGAACATGTTGCTCCAAGGCTGTACTGAATGCTAAGCCCTAGGATGTGCAGTAATTTTATCCTTTATAGTCCAGGAGGAGAATCTCAAAAGGGGTCTAGAAATAGGATTTCGTGATTCCCAGTACTGATTTTGTTTGACTCTATTTTCAGTTAGTATGATGTCTTGGGCTCATGAAATGGCCTGTAATACTCTCAGATTGTGGTATCAGGGTTTTTTTACAGGCCATTATATGTGGTGGTGGTGTCTGAGCATTTTCGTCACATTTGATTTGCTGCCCAACAACACCTCAAAGTTAATCATGCATAGTTTTACTACTATCAATCTGATCACTTTTATTTTGACTTCTGTGTATTACTAAAGGATGTAGAAATCAAAATGGCCGCCATTTTGTTTTGTCGTGTTTTGCCTTTTCGACGCTTAAATTTACATAAAAATGAACACCAAATGTTTCCATTTACATCCAAAGTTGATACTTTTGATGTTTTTTTACACTTGTCTCTCCTAGAGTGATGGCTTGGGCACAAAACAAGTGGTTTTGTATGGTAATGTATGTTTTACAACTTATTCTTTGAGACAGGGGTATTTTAGAGTTTTTCCGACTTTTCATGAAAATGTGTGGTGGTGATATATTCATTGAAAGTTAACATTATTTTTTAAACTAAAGCTTAGAGACTAAATTGTGCATGTCTATACGAACATGTTCTTTATCCAATACTGTAGGAGACCAGTTTAATCTGGTCAGTACAATGTCAGTATATTTGACCAGACTGACCTTGACAAGGCAGGTGAGGAAATGATAACAGTCTGCTCAATTCTCACCGAAACATGAACTTGATCGTGCAGTCATATCTTATGCCACAGCAGTTACAAGTTGTGTTACCATGGTTACACAAAGTGTTAAGGTGGGCTATAGGGTAGCATCGTGGTTAAAGCCTTAGGTTGTGAGGCTAAGATCTTGGTTTGATTCCCCACATGGGTAAAATGTGTGAAGCCCATTTCTGGGGTTCCTTGCCATATTGCTGGAACATTGCTAAAAGCAGCTCACTCACTCACTCAATTTGAAAATATATGTCTGGGTCTGTTTGCACTCTACCAATGTTTTTGGGTTTCACCAAAATGTCTGAGACATCCACTAACTTTGGGACTTTCCCCCAAATATTCCATTCACCTTGTATGGATGAGAGGGACAGTGGAGTGGCCTAGTGGTTAAAGCGTTCACTCACCAGACCAAAGAGCTGGGTTCGATCCCTCACATGGGTACAATATGTGAAGCCCATTTCTGTTGTCCCCCGCCATGATATTGCTTGAATATTGCTAAAAGGGGTGTAAAACCATACTCTCTCACTCACTGATTGCCTGATACATTAATTCAGTCACTGCATAGATGAGAATAGGTTTGCTCCAAGTTCTGGTGTTGCCAATAAATGGTATTGTACCTGCATAGGATTTTCCTAAGTGACTCTGCTATTTTCTTGCTAAAGATTGCTATACTGGCTAAAGGTGGTCACAACCAGTCAGTGTCTTGTTTGAATGTGAGACACAGAAGGTGAGGAACTTCACATGCAGCTAGTTTTTGTCTGTGGAATGTTAGACATTTAAGGTGAAGGTCACCAAGGGCAACCAGATTATACTTTCCTGAGGAAAGAGAGCTGCTGAAGGTTAGAGGTTATAACACAGACAGTGTTTTATCTGCAGACTGTGAGACCCTGGGGTGACCTAGAACACACGGAAGTACATGCAGTGGTACTGCGTTGTAGTGTGTAGTGACTCATCCCCTGCCCTTGGGATTCCCCACCAGCTGGAGACCACTATAGGACCCTTCTTCAATAGGTCCACTGGGTAATGATGCAAGAAGTATTTGCATGTTCGTTCTAATGACTGTGCACACTTAATGTTTATGATCTGTATTTGTTCAAGATTTGTGTGAGTGGCTAAGTTCATTGAATCAGAAGCATGTATATTGTATAATGCAGCTTGTTGTGAACTATTAAAGGAATATATCTACTGGATTAAGTGACATTACATCTTCACATGATCAAACTTTGTCTCCAGAAAACACAAGTTAGTTGAAGAAAATCAGGTGGGTTCAACAGATTCCCATTAAAAAAAGTTCAGGTACAACTATCACCTGTATGTAGGGTTACAGGTACATCTACATCACCAGTTACATCTACCACCTGTATGTATCATTTAGGTACATCTTTACGTACATCTTTATGTATCATTACAAAAAGGTTGGAGGTACAGCTACATCACCTGTATGTATCATTACAAAGGTTACAGGTACATCTACATCACCTGTGTGTATCATTACAAGGTTACAGGTACATCTACATCATCTGTATGTATCATTCTACATCACCTGTATGTATCATTACAAAGGTTACATGTACACATCTACATCACTTGTCATGTATCATTACAAGGTTGGAGGTACAGCTACATCACCTGTATGTATCATTACAAACCTGTATATCATATTACAAAGGTTGGAGGTACAGCTTACCTGTATGAAATACACGTACATCTACATATGTATCATCACATCCTCCTAGTATCATCCATCAATTATGAACGGTCCCTCAGTCTGGTCAGTACAAGCGTCAGTATATTTGACCACCAGACTGACCTTGATAAGGCAGGTGAGGAAATGATAACAGTCTGCTCCATTCTCACAGAAACATGAACTTGATCGTGCAGTCATATCTTATGCCACAGCAGTTACAAGTTGTGTTACCATGGTTACACAAAGTGTTCAGGTGGGCCATAGGGTAGCATCGTGGTTAAAGCCTTAGGTTGTGATGCTAAAGATCTTGGTTTGATTCCCCACATGGGTAAAATGTGTGAGCCGCCATATAGCTGGAATATTGCTGAGTGCGGCGTAAAACTAAACTCACTCACTCACACTCACTAAAATGTGTGAAGCCCATTTCTGGGGTTCCTTGCCATATTGCTGGAACATTGCTAAAAGCAGCTCACTCACTCGATTTGAAAATATATGTCTGGGTCTGTTTGCACTCTACCAATGTTTTTGGGTTTCACCAAAATGTCTGAGACATCCACTAACTTTGGGACTTTCCCCCAAATATTCCATTCACCTTGTATGGATGAGAGGGGCAGTGGAGTAGCCTAGTGGTTAAAGCGTTCACTCACCAGACCAAAGAGCTGGGTTCGATCCCTCACATGGGTACAATATGTGAAGCCCATTTCTGTTGTCCCCCGCCATGATATTGCTTGAATATTGCTAAAAGCCGTGTAAATCTAAACTCACTCAGTCACTGCAAAGATGAGAATAGGTTTGCTCTGGTGTTGCCAATAAATGGTATTGTACCTGCATATGATTTTTCTAAGTGACTCTGCTATTTTCTTGCTAAAGATTGCTATACTGGCTAAAGGTGGTCACAACCAGTCAGTGTCTTGTTTGAATGTGAGACACAGAAGGTGAGGAACTTCACATGCAGCTTGTGTTTGTCTGTGGAATGTTAGACATTTAAGGTGAAGGTCACCAAGGGCAACCAGATTATACTTTCCCGAGGAAAGAGAGCCGCTGAAAGTTAGAGGTTATAACACAGACAGTGTTTTATCTGCAGACTGTGAGACCCTGGGGTGACCTAGAACACACGGAAGTACATGCAGTGGTACTGCGTTGTAGTGTGTAGTGACTCATCCCCTGCCCTTGGGATTCCCCACCAGCTGGAGACCACTATAGGACCCTTCTTCAATAGGTCCACTGGGTAATGATGCAAGAAGTATTTGCATGTTCGTTCTAATGACTGTGCACACTTAATGTTTATGATCTGTATTTGTTCAAGATTTGTGTGAGTGGCTAAGTTCATTGAATCAAGCATGTATATTGTATATTGCAGCTTGTTGTAACTATTAAAGGAACATGTCTTCTGGATTCGTGACATTACATCTTCACATGATCAAACAGAAAACACAAGTTAGTTGAAGAAAATCAGGTGGGTTCAACAGATTCCCATAAAAAAAGTTCAGGTACAACTATCACCTGTATGTACCATTACACCAGTTACAGGTACATCTACATCACCTGTATGTATCATACCAACAGTTACAGGTACATCTACATCACCTGTGTATGTATCATTACAAAGGTTACAGGTACATCTACATCACCTGTATGTATCATTACATACAGGTTACAGGTACAGCTACATCACCTGTATCATTACAAAGGTTACAGGTACATCTACATCACCTGTATTATCATTACGTACAGGTACATCTACATATATCATTACAAAGCTTTAAGGTACATCTACATCACCTGTGTGTATCATTACAAAGGTTACAGGTACATCTACATCACCTGTATGTATCATTACAAGGTTAGAGGTACACGCTACATCACCTGTATGTATCATTACAAAGGTTACAGGTACATCTACATCACCTGTGTGTATCATTACAAAGGTTACAGGTACATCTACATCACCTGTATGTATCATTACAAAGGTTACAGGTACATCTACATCACCTGTATGTATCATTACAAAGGTTACAGGTACATCTACATCACCTGTATGTATCATTACAAAGGTTACAGGTACATCTACATCACCTGTATGTATCATTACAAAGGTTACAGGTACATCTACATCACCTGTATGTATCATTATCATTACAAAGGTTACAGGTACATCTACATCACCTGTATGTATCATTACAAGGGTTACAGGTACATCTACATCACCTGTGTGTATCATTACAAAGGTTACAGGTACATCTACATCACCTGTATGTATCATTACAAAGGTTACAGGTACATCTACATCACCTGTATGTATCATTACAAAGGTTACAGGTACATCTACATCACCTGTATGTATCATTACAAAGGTTACAGGTACATCTACATCACCTGTGTGTATCATTACA